CTCTCTCTCTCTCTCTCTCTCTCTCTCTCTCTCTCTCTCTCTCTCTCTGTGTGTGTGTGTGTGTGTGTGTGTGTGTGTAGGGTAAAGGGCAAACTTGGTCATTGTTCCTCAGGTATCGTCCACCTTGTCTTTGAGACAAGGTTTCTCACTGGTCCACGGTTTGCCAGTTCAAACCCCAGCCCTGGGATTCCAGGTGTGCCCTGCAGTGCCTGACTTGTTTCCATGGGCTCTAAGAACGGAGCACAGGTCTTCATGCTTATAGAGCTATGCTACCCCCTGAGCCATCTCTCCAGTGCCTAGGTCACCAGAAATGTGTTTGCTTTTCTACCCCCCCCTCCCCACAGAAATCTAAATCACATCATTTTCTGGGGCAGATGGGACAGAAGGCGTATGCTGTGTGACATAGATGTGTCACGGTTTCTTTTTTTCCCCCAAGTGTCTGTTTATATATTTACTTTTAGGTGTGTGAGAGTGTGTGTATGTGTACCACATGCATGCAGTGTCTGTGGATGCTGGAAGAGGGCACTGGAACTGGAGTCACAGGCAGTTGTGAACCATCATGTGGGTGCTAGGAACAGAACCGGGGTCCTCAGCAAGAGCAGCAAGTACTCATAACCTCACCGAGCCATCTGTCCCGTCCCATGTAATATTTTCAAAACAGCTAACTCATAAAAATACCCCCTAAAAAGGAACACATTCACAGACATACAAGTTTTTATCCCCCGCCTCAGATCACTTTCTTTCCTCTAGAAACGCCCTGCCAGTCATTTCCATCCCTGGAAATCTCTGCTTAGCTATCTTAGCCTGTGGATGCTCTCACTGCCTCACACTCCAAGTCACAAGCTCATAACTCCACTCCTGGATTTCTGCTTTGCTATGGCTCAATAAAAAATCCATCTCCAGAATCCATGTCTAGTTATCTCTGGTTATTGGAACATGTCCCCTGAATACCTAATGAAAACTCTAGCTTCTGCCAGGTCTGCAGCCTGTGTGGTACTGGGTTGCTTGACTTACAACTGGTCTCATTCTTTTCCATCAAGAGAAACACCCAACTCTTCCCTTTTCCATATGCTGCCTTAATGTGGCATACTGTTGGCGTCCTTCATGCGGTCTGGAAGCCCCAACTCTCCAAATGTCAAGCTCAAAATTAGCCTCAGTATTCTAGGAGCTCTTGGCTGCGTGGGGACCAGATGGATTCAGGAATTGGTGCTCAGAGTTGTGGTTCTTAACCATTTGGGGACATGTGCCACTTTTGAGAAGCTCTGCTTTGGGAATGTCACAGAAACATGACTCTGTGGAGGGGTGTGTTCGTTTGCACACGGCTCCAGAAGATGATCTGTGTGGCTCATGAGCTGTACACCTTAGGGGCAGGCAATCAGGACAATCAAGGTGTGTGTGTATGTGTGTGTGTGTGTGTGTGTGTGTGTTTACTCACCGGGTACAGAGGCCAGAGGAGGACAGGAGTGTCCTGCTCTATCACTCTGTCTCATTCCCTCTCACTGAATATGGAGCTAGTCTGTCTGCCTGCAAGCCTCAGTGATCCTCCTGTCTCCCCTGCCCTCTTCCTGAGCTGGGTGCATGCATGGCTGTTCCTAGCTTTCTATATGGGTGCTGAGGATCTGAACTCATGTCCTCAAGAGCTGAGAACATCTAAGTCATCTCTTGAGCCCCAAGAGAGTTGTTTTTGTTTTTGTTTTAACAACATCAGATTCTTGAGAATGAAACAATTTGAATCTGCAACTGAAGGGTTTTAGAATTGTTATTTTTAAGCAAGATAAATTCCTAAGACCACACTTTGAAACCCTTTTCAATTACACTGTCATTTTTTCAGAACCTAATTTCATTTTTTTAAAAAATACACTTACCTGGCTCTCTCTTGAACGGACTTGTTCAGACACATTTGCTGTTTCAGGAGGAAGCCTTCGTGGGATTTCAAACATGGTCCGGAGAGCCTCTCCTTCCTGGCTGAGTTCTCTCATTTGTTCCCTGATAGGTTTTTTGATAATGAGTTCGAGGAAAGAAAACCAGACACATGTTATGACCAACAATCACCAGTCCTAAAGTGTTGGTTTGGTGGGGGTGGGGGAATCATGAGGTCTTTGAATGTCTGGAAATGGCAAGAGGGGAACCGTGTGTAGCCCTGACTGTGCTCTTAAACTAGAGAATGGGGCTAAGAGGTTTGGAAAGAATTACTCAGTCCATGACTCACTGAGGTTTTGCTTTCTGGGTCTTTACTGTGTCTGCTCCACCCCCCACCCCCCTACTCTTATCAGGCTGCTTTTCCTCACACACCTTTATTTGTTAGTTAGTCCTTCGCAAACATTCCGTGAGTCATCGGGTTCCGATAGGAGCGCAGTGCAGCTTATAGATAGGCACTAATAAGGATCCGTGGGGAGTGGGGGGGGGGGGTCAGCCCTGATGAGTGGGGTGTCCTGGCATGAGTTTTCCTGAGTGGTCTGAGGTGATGTGGGTGTTGTCCCTTAGCATACTCGCCTTCCTGTTCAGCCCTGTAGTGTGTCCTAATCCAGAGACCTCTGCATGTGAGGAGTGGGTTGGATTTCATGAAAAATGGCTGGACACTCCAAATGTTACCAGACAGGATCTTAGGGGTGTCTCAGGACATGATGTCCAGGTTCTTTGTATCTTGAACAATGAAATGGACATGAGACAGTACAGCAGTCATGAAACTGTCGATTCATTAAAAGTAAGAGTAGGGGCTGGAGATGGCTCAGAGCTTTGAGGGCTAGAGTTTGGTTCCCAACTCTCACCTCGGGTGACTGTCTTCCAGCCTCTGCAGGTTTACCTGCATTCATGTACACAGACATTCACAGGTTTTGCCTATAATATATTTTTAAGTCTTAAAAAAAAAAAAAGCAAGCGGTAAGCATAAAAACAAAGACTACCCTCCACAGGGTGGGAGCATGCGTCTGTGGTTCAAGAGCCGCAGCTTAGGGTTCTGGGCTCCTTCCTGCCGAAGGCCAGAGAGGAGTTATTCGAAAGGATGGATCTTTCTTTGGCTGTTGTAGGTAATTGATTTTCTGTTTGTTGGAGTATGCATGTCCAGTTCTTGGGGTGGTCAGGAACAGTTGGAATGAAGCCTTTCTTGTTTGCTGGGTCCCTACCTTTAATTTTCTTATGATTCACAAATCTTCTTGCCTCACAAATGACTGTCGTCACCCTGTTGAAGTTAACGGACATCCAGAGGCCAGAGGCCCTGAAGGCTCACACCAGGTCAGAGTCTTCCTCACGGCCCACAGAGACATGCTGTTTCCTAACTTGTTTTGTGTTTCCTGTGCCCTCACGGAGCCTTTTCTCCCCACAGGCTATGGCCACACGGTGCCCTTGTCGGATGGCGGCAAGGCTTTCTGCATCATCTACTCTGTCATCGGCATCCCGTTCACCCTCCTCTTCCTGACAGCTGTGGTCCAGCGTGTCACCGTGCACGTCACCCGCAGACCCGTCCTCTACTTCCACATCCGCTGGGGCTTCTCCAAGCAGGTGGTGGCCATCGTCCACGCGGTGCTGCTGGGGTTCGTCACCGTGTCCTGCTTCTTCTTCATCCCAGCCGCTGTGTTCTCTGTGCTGGAGGATGACTGGAACTTCCTGGAATCCTTTTACTTCTGTTTCATCTCGCTGAGCACCATCGGCCTGGGGGATTACGTGCCAGGGGAAGGCTACAACCAGAAGTTCAGAGAGCTGTACAAGATTGGGATCACATGTGAGTACCTGTGGCTGGCTGCACCGTGCATGTCTGTTTGGTCCTTTCCATGTTCTGCTTTCTCTAGGGACTGACAGTCCTTGCTTTCCCTTGGATATGTTTTCTTTCTCCCCCGACTTCCTGTAGCTACTTCGCTTCACCATTCCCATCCCAGCTCCCCCTGCTTAGTTATGGTTCCAGCGCACCTTAAAGCCACTGCTGAGTTTCTTGCATTGTGTGTGTTTTCATGTGGGGTGTGCAGGTGTCGCTGTCGGTGCCTGTGGAAGTTGGAGGACAGCCTCCCCAGCCCTTCCTCAGGGGCCTTCTTCTTTTCGTTTGAGACAGGGTCATTCTTTGGCTTGGTTATTTCATCAAGAAGCCAAGACTGGCTGACCAGGGAGCTCTGGGAACCCACCTGTCTCCACCTCCCATCTCAGCATCTCTGGGATTACAAGTACAAGCCATGGCACCAGCATTTCCCAAGGGCTTGGAGGATCCAACTCAGGGCCTCCCACTTGTGAGGATGCTCTTGACTGCCCTCTTCCTCTCCCTCCCTCCAATCAGCTTCTCAAATGGTGTAACGGGCATAGTAGCCACCTTTTACTACAGTAACTTACGTAACACGGTTAAATATTTTACACATAAGAAAAGGAGACCTCAGCTTGTCACTGACGTCGTGCTCTTTAATTTTCCAGGAAATTTCTCCAAGTAGTCACCGGCCTCATTTGTCCCTGTCATTCCACTTTGAAGTGACCTGTCACCGATTACTCTCAGAATTCATGTGTAGAAAATGAAGTAGGCAACACATTTTATCTACCTCAGCTGGTAAAGTGCCTGCCGCACAAGCATGGACTCCCGAGTTCCGATCCTTAGCGTCCACATGAAAAGCCAGGTGTGGTGGCATGCTGGAGGGGACAGACACGGGAGGATCCCAGGGTCTTGGACAGGTTCGTCTAGCTGAAACTGCAAGCTCCAGGTTCAGCAAGAGACTCTGTCTCAGAAATAAGCCCGAGAGCCACTGAAGACGTAGAACGTGCCTCTGCATGAGCATTCACCAGCAAGCCCACCTGCATGCACATAGCGCACAGTCTGGAAAAACTCAGCCACCCCTCTGGAAGAAGCTGTATTTTCTCTGTGAGCCCTCTGTGTGTTCTGGATGTGTAGCAAGCTGTCATAGCATAGTTCCCGCTGCTGCCTTCTCTAGACGCTTACCTGTGACCCAGCCCAGTCACAGCTTCTAGGAAGTCATGCTTTCGTGAGCAGTCAGTGCCCTTGCCCTGTCTTGTTCTCTTAATCCCACAAAGTGGTTGGTTGGGCTGTATTTGAATATTTCCATGAAACCGTAGGCTCACTGGGAACACAGCCTGCACTCATAAACGCCCAGTGCTTTCCATGGCTCCTGGCTCCAGTCCAAGCACCGTCAGTATTTGCCAAAGAGTCCTTCAAGGAGGGTTTCATGCTCTTTATTATTTTAGAGCCTGTGTGTGACTCGGGGACCACCCCACAGCCCACCTGCCTCACTTGATGACCATCTAATTTGCCTCTAATTCAGTAGTATGACACATAGCCTCAGTGTAGAGATCTTTTTGTATTTTTTATTTTTGAGATCTTTCTAAGAAGTAGGATTACTGGCCCCAAATGAACACACTTCTTTTTTTTTTTTTTTTTGAGCTGAGGATCGAACCCAGGGCCTTGCGCTTGCTAGGCAAGCACTCGACCACTGAGCTTAATCCCCAACCCTGAGCACACTTCTTTTGTGAGTTACAGAACAGAACTCTGAGGTCCCCAAATGGAACACAAGTCCACACAGTCACAGGTATCTGAGTTCCCATCCTCTTTGGGTGGCATTGGCCAAAGGAGTTCTAGACATTTGCTGTGTGAATTTGATAGCAGTATAGATAGACATCACCTTAACTCTCATTTAAGCTAGCAGGCAATTCTTTAATTTTCACTTTGCTTTCTAATTTCTTTGTGAACTAGAGAAATAGAATATCCCTGCGTTTGTGTTTTCCGGTTCAACTTTCCTCTGTGTACACTGCCCTCCACTATATCCTGATACGTGAGCTCTCCCAGCTTTCTCCCAAGCACTGAATCCTCCATACCCTGTGCCCCTTGTTACAGTGTGGACTGTGTTTCCCAGGCAGTCAGCCAGGATAGACTTTATGCTGTGAGCGTTCAGAACTGGAGCATCCAAGGAATTAATGGTCTGAAGGTGTAGATAAAATAAAATCCCACAGCTTGCCTGAACACCCACGGGCACTTCTGGCAGTATCCCAGAGTCTGGCTAAATAGTAACCAAGGAGGGAGTGGCTTTGTCTCCTGGCTGGCAGTGCTACTGCCAACCACACGGAAGTCCCTGAGGCACCGGCTTACCAACAGTCAAAGTTGGAGACATCCGGGGTCCACACTCCTACAGAGCAAATTTAAAATGTCCTCACCTGTGTATTTTCTGGAAATCTTCCTTTCACGTTTTACTACTGGGACATGAAGTGAGGACTTTTGACATTCCCTTCTGGTCCATTTCTGTGAGTTTTTGCTTTTTTTTTTTTTTTTCTGAAAACTGATTTAGGCCAGGTGGTGGTGGCGCACGCCTTTAATCCCAGCACTCAGGAGGCAGAGGCAGGTGGATCTCTGTGAGTTCGAGGCCAGCCCGGTCTCCAAAGCTACACAGAGAAACCCTGTCTCGAAAAACCAAAAAAAAAAAAAAATGATTTAAAAAAATGTTGAAACTGACTTAAAATCACTATTTGCCCATCACAAGTTCCAAAAATAGCAGTTATCCTTCATGAATGAGAAAATTGTGGTTATCTAGGGAATTGTCCCCATGCCTAGATCCTGACAATGATGTCGTCGAAGGCTTGAGAAGCAGAAATTATGATAACAATATTGAGCGCTCAGAAAGACGCTCACGTAACGTGAAAAACTGTTTGTGACTCTCTCATTCTAAGGCCGAGGAGGAGAGGGTCCCACTAGGTGACTATGGTGAGTCATTTGACTTGAGCGAAGCCACATTAGCAACAATTGATTGCTTTCTTCTTCTAAAGATTGAAGCCAGGAGAGAGCAGGGTCCCCAGCTTAGGGAGTAGCATCAGTGGTGTTGAGCAGCAGGGAGCGAATTAAAAATGGCTGATGTTGAGAAAGGCAAGAAGATTTTTGTTGAGCAGTGTGCCCAGTGCCACACTGTGGAAAGGGAGGCAATCGTAAGACTGGACCAAGTCTCCATGGCTGTTTGGGTGGAAAAGAGGTCAGGCCGCTGGAATCTTTCACACAGATGCCACAAGAACAAAGGCCTCGCCCTGGGAGAAGATACCCTGATGGAGTATTTAGAGAATCCCCCAAAAATACATCCCTGGAACAAAAAGGATCTTCGCTGGAATTAAGAGGAAGGGAGAAAGGGCAGAGCTAATGGCTTATCTGAAAAAAGTGACTAGCATGTAATACCACCTGCCTTATCTATTACAAAACAAATGTCTCGTGGCTTTTAGTAGGTACCATGATTTAATTCATACACCAGAACTCAGATCATGAATGGCTAACAATGTTTCGTGTCAGACAGTCCAGATTTAGGTAAAATTGACTTGTGGTAAAGTGGATATGGTCTTTTTTAAAATAACAATT